GACTTGTCGCCCAAAATTTACCCACAATTCTTGCATTCGCAGAGCCGGTCACATGCGAAACAAGATGTCGTCCTTTTCGCATTACAACGAAAGAGGAGTTATTCGAGATATCCATTCTCTTGCCGAGGTTATTCTCCTCGATCACTCTTACGCCAAACCGTGGTCTGCACATCCAGATGCTTCTAAAGTGCGTCCAGTGAAAACGTTGTTTCTGCCCAGAGAAGACGTAGAAAACTTGCCCTCGATATCCGATGATGAGGAAATCGATGTTTGTGAACCGGTCGCCTCCTCGTGTTCTACGAATATTATGTACGATACGGCCAAAGCTAAAGCAGTGATGGCTGAATGCGAGAAGTATGTGAGTACTGTGTCTAGTAAAAAGACTCCAGACACATGGGAAGAACAAATTTCGAGGTATGTTGTGTGGTTAATTTTTCATAAAATATGCACGTGTTAAATGGTTGACAGCTTTTGACAAGACTAATTCGATCAACGAAATAGAAGATGTTTTTGAAAATTGTCATTTCCATTCTCAACCCCACAGTCGCTAGGAATAACTAAAGGAATCAGCAGGGTTTTCTTATTAAAGTGAATTCTTGAAGCAGATCGCTGAATTGAGGATGAAAAAAATTATGAGAAATACTAGTGGATTGTTTCGTGACAGATACCTACATGTGCATTCGCTTGCCAGTGACTTACTTGTGGACGTATAGAATATCTTAAATCCGTGGTACTAACTGACAACAATAACAACACCATCTCTATTTTCTCATTTATAAATATAAATATTAAAACGTTTTTAGTTTTTGTGCAAAAATATACTCGAAACCTAATTAATGTGGATAGAACAGTTATCAGGAAGTCCAATTCATGTATGTATTTGTATCAAGTTCTAAAGTAACTAGTAGTCACTAGGGAGAAGTCATTATTTGTAGACAGCTCCGATGCTAACTCATCGGCAACTGCATTACACTTAGAACTATTACATTTAAATGTTCAGTAGTCATCTAAATGAATTGCCATTAAATCAGCAATAATTTTCAAGATGTCATTTGATCTCGTAACAGGAATGGCTGGGGAACCAAGCAGAGTGTCTTGTTTGACAAAGTTACAAAAGTTCTCTCCAATTTGCGGCTAGCAAGGTTGACTTATGAAGGGGTAAGATTTTTCACTGACTGTCATTAGTAAAATTCTGCTAGGTACACTAATGCTGCTATCTGGTTGGCTGAGCTATGACCTATCAGAACACTAGTGAGTGTTTCTTTCAAGGGTCTATGGAATGATGGTTACTCGCGTAAATTTTATGTTCGGCATAAGGCTGAGAGGGAAGGCTGCTGTCAGTTTCTAGGGTCCAAAACATAACCATTTTATTGTGTTGTACCAGAACATATCCATACCTTCCCCACAGACAAGGCTGTGGTCCAAGAAAATTAAAAGGAGCCTGAAGGCTCCTAACCATGAGATCCTGGGTGCCCAGCACTTATGCTGATGTGAAAAGAATAAGTTTTTCCAGTAGTCTAAAGGCAAAAGTTAGTTGCCTTTGGCACCTGGGTGCTTAAACTAGAGCACAGATTTTTGCTGTGACCTTCTCCCTCCTGAAAATGCCAGTCTACACTGTAGCCTCATACTTTTCTTCCACAGCTTCCAAATGAGCCAGTGATGAGACGAATAACTACAGACAAGGCAACCAAAAGAACAAGACAAATTCTGAGTGAGACAGAATGGGTGAGTTTAGATTTGTATTGAATATCATGCACTGAAATGTTTAATGCACCTGCTACACATGGTACATTTTGTTTTGAAGCCAACCATCAAAATAAAAAATGTGTTGCTTTTTAAAAACCTTTTGTACTGATGAGTGAAACATTTATTTTGTAATTAATTTTGATAACAAACTGCTTATTAACTGCGAGTGAGGTCTTTATGGGGAAATCTCGAACTGAGACCTTACCTTATTGACTGAGCGATAGACTGAATGTCCATGGTTAATAAATTGTTTATTATTGGCTTTTTGCTTTGCTTTTACAGGCCTGTGATCGGCTGGCCTATGGGCATTATGGGAGAATAATGTCCTAGAATTAGCCAATCAGAGCGTGTTTTATATCGGCCACAAACATAAGCCATATAATAAAATGCATGAATGCCTTAGTTATTTCAACATACAAATTAATATGTTTGCACAATACTTTTAATACACTGTAAAGTTCACCACTGACATGAATAGTTACCTTTGAAATTATACCCTGCTCAGCAGAAACCTCTATTAGATTAATGCAGACAGTAAT